CACGATTTGGGACATTTTTGTTGGCCCCGATTTTGCGCACTTTGATGGCCTGCCTTCCGCGGAGGCACACTTTCTTGACTAGGTTTTTCTTTTTTACAGTTAAATCAATAAGAACAAATCGTGTTCGAAATCGTGGGTGGTTTCGTGGGGCCTTGCACGGAAGCGCCGAATCGTGGCCGAAAATCGAGGGCAAAATCGTGTCCGAAATCGTTGGCCAAATCGTGTCCGAAATCGTGGGCGAAATCGTGATGCCGAAATCGCGGGCGCAGAATCGCGGGCCTGCCCGGTGCGCCGGCATGCCAAGCAGGCCTGCCCGCCCAACATCAGCGAAGGTCAAGAAAAAAAGAGGAGGGAGCGGCAGCAGCGGCAGGAAGGCCAGCAGCAGCAGCCGGTAAAGGGATGAATGGGAAGAATGGGAAGCAGCAGCAGGAGAGGAGGAGAGAAGGAGTCGTCGAAATTGGCCCGCCCGTTTGTCGCGCGCCCCATAGCGCACCGGACATGCTTCTCGGGGGAAACTCGCCGGCCCAACGGACCAGCGGCGCGCGAAGATCTCCGGCGACTGCATCGCAACATTTCTACTTCGCGCGCGCGGGACGGCCCAGAAGGGCCCCCGGACGCAAAGTGCCCCGGCCAGGTCGGGCCAGAGATGGTTCTTCTCCTGGGCGCGGCTTTCAGGCGCCCCAGAGCGATGCAAAAGGGCCCCAAGAGGCGCCCCAGACGGTCCAAGGGGGCTCCGAGTCGTCGAACGATCGGCCCGCGACACCCGCAATGGCTTCCAGACGGCCCACGACGCGCACAAGACCCCCGAAGAGGCCACCGCGAGCTGAAACGATACCCGAAAACGCGATTCTAAACTTCATTAAAACATGGTAGCAGAGAGACGAGGTGGAAACAGACCAAGGGCGACACCGCTCGAATGACGCGTCGAAGCGAGATTGCGCGCAAGCCGCACGCCGAATGCCCAATATGAGAGCGGGCCAGCGACGCAACATCTTCTGAACAAGCAAAAAACAACTAAAAAACATCGAAATCTAATATTTTTGGCTTCGGAAAAAAAAACAACATCGTTGCAACAATCCGCTTGGGGGGCGCAGCTTCATGACCATTACATCTCGGAGCTCCGCGCGGATGTCCTGGATCGCCGCTGGCCCCCCCCTGGCAGCGCCTCCAGCGCCGCCCCCAGCGCGCTCCGCGCCAAAGAGAGAGGGGCCCAGCGCCGATCCGAGAAACCTGCGGGGACCTCCGAAAGTTGATGCTGATATCGTTGGTTCTTCTTCGAGGTGGACCGCCCAGGCCCAGCGCAGCCCGCAGACGCAGGCACTGACAGCGGCGCTGCAGGCGATGACGTTCGCCGCGAGGCGCTGCCCTGCCATGCGGGCGAGCAGCGCCAGCGACAGGCTCCACTGCATCCCCTTCTCGCAGGCGCTCACGGCGGCCCCGAACGTGACGACGCTGGGGGTCAGGCCCGCCTGTGGGGAGGCACAGAGGCACGTACCGACGGTACCGATGCCGCCACTTCCCGGACTTCTCCTCGGTCGCGTTCTGACCGGTATCTCGATGAGAATCCAGCCGTATATCGACGAGGGGAGCTCTCGAGGACGAGCAGCTGCACTGGCATCTTTCCCCTCCTCTGAGCCTGGCGCATGTCCCTTAGCAGCAGCAGGGCCCACTCCCACTGCCTGCCCCTCTCGCAGCTGCTGACCAGCGCGTTGTAGGATATCGTGTCCGCGCGCACGCCAGCGAGGCGCATCGCCTCCGCCAGCTGCAGCGCGCGCTGCCACCGGGCGCCCTCGAAGCAGCCGGCGATGGCCGCGTTGTAGGTCGCCGCCGAGGGCCGCATGGACGCACCGCGCATCTCGGCGAGCAGCACCTGCACGCGGCGCCACGACCGGCCCTTCTCGCACGCGCTCATGGTCGCGTTGAAGGTGATCAGGTCCGTCTCCAGGCCTCGGAGCCTCCCGCCGATATCTCATCTCCTCCTCCTCCTCCTCCTCCTCCTCCTCCTCGTCCACTTCCTCCTCCCAATCTCCACTTTCTTTCAAGTAACCTCTTCGCCTTCCTCCCTGCCCTGTCCTTTCTCCTTCCTCCCTCCTGCCTCCTCCCCCGACATGCCGCCACATTTCATCCTCCTCCTCCTCCTCATCATCATCATCCTTTTCCTCCTCGTCCTCAGACCTGCCCCTCCTGCCTCTGCAGCTGTTCCCCATCCAAGCACATCCTAACCTCATTCTGCCCCTTCCCTCGTCCTCTTGACCTACTCCTCCTACTACTTGCTTCTCGTCCCCCATCCACCTCTTTCCCATCCACCTCCGACCCCAATATCCCACTGTCCCTGCTCTCCTCCTCCTCCTCCTCAGGTCACGCCCGCTTCCCCGGAAACAGTCTCGGGACGCACGAGGACATACTGGTGCCACGTGCCCTCCTCGGAGGAGTGCGTCCGACCCGCACACGTAAAGTCAAAAACCCTACTAAGGACGCGCGGTAAGGACGCAAGACCCTTGGAAGCCGAAGTTGGGATTTTTGGGGGCGGCGGACGACGAAAACCTCAAGGACGCAAGAGCAAGGAAGAGCAAGGACGCAAGGGTACCCTGAGCAAAGCCGCGCGTCCTTCTTAGGGTTCTCGACTGCAGCACACCCATCTTGTATTATGTCGTCTCCCGAGCGCTACGGCCATGACAGCGCCCGCCACCGGGCTTAGACCATCACACTGCTCGGAGCGCGCGCCGCACCTTCGAGGGCGACGCACCCAGAGTGTCAGTACGCTTGGGTGGCAGCGACCCGAGGCCCGGCGAGGGCCACCCGGGAGCCGAACAGAGATCCCCGAGTCGCCCGCCGTGACTCTCGGTGCATCTGAGGCCCGGCGAGGGCAACCCAGACGCCGGAATTGTTCCAAGATCGCCCGCCGTGACTTCCTGTGCCTCGGGCTGCGGCGATGCGCCTCGGGATGCGGCGAGGGGGGGGGGCCTCTCGGGCGTGGGCAGAAGCCCCCCTCTCGTGGTAGCAGGACGCCCGGCAAGAAGAAAGCTGCCAGGGGCGCTCCACGTGCGCACGGCACCGCTTTTCCCGAGTGCCCCCCGGCGGGGTAGACGGAATCAGCTTCCAAACGCAATCGACTGTATCCGACGAAACGCACGCCGATTACAGTCGGGGCGTTGACGTAAGGAACCCCAAATAAGGAACGAGGCCCCCTTTCTTCCATAAGTTAGCCTTCGATGTCCGGTCGAAAACATAAGGGAAGCCTGAGGCAAGCTGTGAAACACTTAAGGAACGCGGAGCCCCTCCCCAACGAAAAGGGTTCCTCCTTCAGGGCCCCGACTGTAGCGAAGTCGACTGGGGACTGCGCTGGCTGGGGACTGCGCTGGCACACTCGAGTGCTTCGGTGGCAACTCGTGAGAGCCTCTCATGCCATCTTGCTGGCTCTTGCGAGTCGACGCTAACCGAGGCTAATCGACGCTGGTCGACACTAAATCGAAGCCACTCGACGCTACATCGGCGCGTTCTCATCACGCTAACGCACGCTAGTGCACCCGATAAAATGAACTACGAGAACAAACAAAACTCCCATTACCTGCCACCGAAGAAAACCCCCATGTCGTGTGAACTGGCGCAGATGTCCTCAGTCGACTTGTCTTGGGGAAGGTTCTGTCCAAGCATCGTTTAACCGATCCCTGTCTCCATTGGCATGGCCTGGGCATAGCTTACCGATTTCCCACCCTAGATGGGGGTAGATCTTTCCACCCAGATATCGCCACGCCAAGCGTGCTGGCACCTACCAAATTCGTCACAATGCTGACCTGCGAACGTGGCCAAAACTCCGGCCAGAGATACGGGCCACGATACGTTTACGTTACTACTTACTGTAGGCGCCACCTGGAAACAGACACAAACAAAAAGAACTACATGTGACAATCATGGCCCGGGCGAGCGGTCGAGGAGGAGGAGGAGGAAGGAAGCGATTTCCCCGAAAATCGGCAATGGCCCTGGAGCCTGGCTGGAGCAGAGAAAGTCACTGATACGAATTCCCTTGGTTGTGTTTTTACCTCCAGGAGGTGACCCAAGCGGCAACGCTGACAAATCCAACACAAGACTGCATAACGATACGAATCTACACCAACATCGTGTCGGTGAGACCGTGCGGAGGAGTAGAGGACGAGCAGGGGAGCAACGACAGTACCTGCTTGCTGCAAGCACCCGTCAACGACATGATATCACTCTGACAGAGGGGGGGCTGGAATGCGCTTCCCCAGCAGCGCGCGCGACAACCGCGACGGCCTAGATGGGGATATAGGTGACTCCCTTCGGGGTTTGAGGGGTATACCCCCGACTGGGGTGGTGGGACGGTGGGGCTGAGATAACACGGCCCGCCGTGGATGGGGAAAGGTCAAACGATACAATCAAAACGTGCAGTCTGGACGAGCGCGAGGAGGCAAGACCCTTGGAGGCCGACGTTGCGATTCCTTGTGGGGCGGGCGACCCGCGAGAACGGCCGAGGACGGGCCGCCGAGGCGAGGACACAGGGGCACCCCGGATGAAGGCGCGCGCCCTTCCCTGGCGCGCTGAACTGTTCCTCCTCAGTTTTGTTTCTCTCCCCCTCCCCCTCCCCCTCCTCCTCCTCCTCCTCCTCCTCCTCCTCCTCCTCCTCCTCCTCGACCTCCTCCTCCTCCTCGACCTCCTCCTCCTCCTCCTCCTCCTCCTCCTCCTCCTCCTCCTCCTCCTCCTCCTCCTCCTCCTCCCCTGCGGCGCTTCTCGCCTGGCGTCCGCCAGCAGCACCAGGGCGGCCTGCCAGGCGGCGCCCTTCTCGCAGGCGCCCACCGCCGCGCCGTGGGCGACCGCGTCGGGCGGCAGGGAGCGGGTGCCTCGGGCGGCGCTGGTGGGGGCCCCGGTCTTTCGAGCAGGAGGGAGAGAACAGCATCGATCTCCATCAGATTTGATTTCCACGTCGGACCTACGAACAGATACGTGTGATGCTCGCTGATCTCCCAAATCGAACTCGTTTTTGTCGCAGGTTCGCCAAACCACAAGTCTGGGGTCAATCAATTCTGTAGTCGATCTCCGACTCGAACCTTTTTGCTGGCGGCACGCTTCGGCAAGATCCACAGACCTGAGGCGACGTTATACTCGTCGCGAGGGCCCCCCTCCAGGAAGGAACGAATAAAGTCCGTGGCATGACAGCGTGCAGGAAAGTAACTTGGACAAGCTGCAAAAGCCTGCACCAATAAGAACAATGAACACCTCGAAAGGCTGACTGGCTCCAAGGAGCTCGAGTGCGCCCGCAGAGGGAGAGAGAGAGAGAGAACAAAAAAAAAAAAAACAGAGAGAGAGAGAGAGAGAGAAACGCCCCTCGGGAACCACGTCGCCGTCGCCCTGATCCGAAGCGAGCGTTTGCTCGAGATCGAAGGCGGGCGCCGTGTTCTGCAAGTGAACGTAAGCCCGATGCCCCCCCCCTCCCCAAAGGCTCGCTGAGCTGTGCCCTGGCGCCCGCCGTGTGGAGGAGCGAAAGGAACTGGAAAGGCAACAGCCAACGAAGCCAAAGGCAGCAAGCGGCTGCACGAGGCGACTGCTGCGGCACTCTGAGGGCCCAGGCGATCCGTAATGAGACGCGCCAAATGCTGCGCTGCAGGAAGCCGGCAAAAGCTGGAGTAGGTGGATCGCACGCCGTACTATCCGACTGGCGAAGTTGCAATCCCTCCAGAGCAACCAGAAGCGCAGCACAAAAAACATCAAACATCACTGAGAGCATGAAGGCGGAAGAACTGAAGGGAGTAAGGTTCGGTCGGGCGTTTTCCCCTACAGGTGGATTTTGGGCGAAAAATAAAAATACTCAAAATATGCCCCTCAAATGGGCAAACATAGTCTAAACATTGTCCCCAGACTATGTTTTCGGGACAGGCCCGACATGAGAGGAAGGAGAAGTCTGGGGATGGGGGGCCCAAGCGATGTGCGAGGGGGCGCGCCAGAGGCCGCGCGGAGGGGGACGCGCAGAGGGCTTCGGGATGTATCGCTGCGCTGCAGGAAGGCGCGCCGATGGATCCGCGCCGTACGATCCGACTGGCGAAGATGCAATCCCTCCAGGGCAACCAGAAGCGCAGCACAGAGAACGTCAGAAATCACTAAGAGCATGCAGGCGGAAGAAATGAAGGGAGTAAGGTTCGGTCGGGCGTTTTCCCCTACAGGTGGATTTTGGGCGAAGAGAAAAAAAAACTCAACACAAACCCCCCACACGGGAAAAAATAGTCTAAAAATTGTCCCGGAACTATGTTTGTACTATTTTTGAATTTTCCTCCTGTAGGATGGGGGGCCCAAGGGACGTGCGAGGGGGCGCGCCAGAGGACGCGTAGAGGGCTTCGGGATGTCCAAAGGCAGCTAATTCCAGATCTGAGACCATGGATGCACCTCCTCCTCCTCCTCCTCCTCCTCCTCCTCTTCCTCCTCCTTCTCCTCCTCCTCCTCCTCCTGCTCCCCCTCCTCCTCCGCCCCCTCCTCCTCCTCCTCCTCCTCCTCCTCTTTCTCCTCTTCCTCCTACTCCTCCTCCTCCTCCAATGGGCAGAAGTGCAGTGGTCTTAGGTAGCGTCACAGCGCCGCTCCACAGCTGCGCGCCAGGCCGAGGCAGCGTTCGTGCTGCCTTGCCGGAGCTACGGCAGGGTCTCCTCTCCCTCCGCGGCATGGAGATAAAACTTTGCATTGATGAGGTGATCGACTTGCCCCGCCCCCACCGGACAAGCATCCTTCTGTGAGCCTTCCGTGGGCGGCGGCGAGTGCCGCACCCGCGGGCGCAGCACTCAGACCAGCAGACAAAAAACAGAGAACAATTGGGCCCGCGGCCATCCATCGGGTGCACGAGCCCCTGGCCGAGGAGATGGGGACCTTCTCTCGCCACTCGTCTTCACTCGTCTTGGTAGGCGGATCGACGCCTGTGCGAAGCACGTCCTCGCCCTCGCTTGGAAACCCGAAAGCCGACGAAAACACCGAAAGCTCGAGCAGCGGCGCCCGCAACTGCGAGCCAACAAGGCGCAGCGCACGATGACCTCCTCCTCCTCCTCCTCCTCCTCGTCCTCCTCGTCGTCGTCGTCCTCCTCCTCCTCCTCCTCCTCCTCATCCTCTTCCTCCTCCTCCTCCTCATCCTTCTCCTCCTCCTCCTCCCCCTCCTCCTGCGAGAACACACGGTTCCCATCACCGCTGCGTGAAGACCTCGATGTAGCCCTTTACGGGCGCGTGACAGTCCCTGCTCCGCGGTGGCTGCGGCACGCACTGCTGCTGGACGTAGCTCTTGACGGGGGCGTGGCAGCTCACTTCGCGCGGACCCTGAGATTTCGCCTCCGGCGTCTCACCAGACTTGGCCGACTTGTTGCTCCTGTTGCTCCACGTCTTAAGCATCTCCATCTCGCAGACGGTGTAGAGGTGCGAGGGCAGAGCGAGCGGTGTCTTTCAGAGCTGTCACTGGACAGAGCAGCTTGAGCCAAAATGGTTAGGGAATCTTAGAAACCAACTCCTGGGAGGTCTTCGTACGAACTATTTTATGTTGCATCTTCGGGGGGGCCTTGTCTGTCCCGTCGCGCCCCTATCCGTGTCCAATCCGTTTCGAATCCATGCTGGACCCGTCGAATCCGCGTCGAATCCACGTCGAATCCACGTCATGTCGAATTCCCGTCGAATCCACGCCAAATCCGCACAGAGTCAGCATCGAGCCCACGCTGAGCAGAAGAGCAGACACCAATTTTGGGGGGTAGACGAGGTCCCCCGAAGATGCAACGTGAACGATTAAGAGATGTTAATCCCGATTGAGCAGGAAAAGACAGAATTATGGGACCATGCCGGATTAAGCCGGTATTCAACCACGGATACATACCAGCGCCGGTGACGGTGAACCTCCCAGAAGTTGCATCCTTCAGACCCTGTCGCGTGGAGAACAACAAATCATGATGGGAGTGCTTTCCCCATTTTCGGCCTGCGGAGGCCCTTATCGTGCCTCGGGACCGTCAACAAAAACCAGCCCAGGCTGAAAATACGAGGGGTATGACAACCCCAATTCCCTGACTTTGGGGGGTTTTCTGCTGGACCAGTAATTTTGGGCACACCTCTGGGATATACGATGGGAGGGCGTCCATCCTCGATAGGGGTGCGTCCGAATAGACCTCTGAAGGTGTATCCCTGACTTTCCCTCCTTCGCTGAGCGGCCAAATTTTCTGGGTAGAACTGAAAGATTGGAGAAGATAAATCGCCTGCGATGAGACACCGGTCCTAGGGAAGGGGTCCAGACCGCTGGGGGCCCATGCTGTGATGAAGAAATCATGGCGTCGAGCGTCTTGGGGGTCGGGGGCCCTGGCGGCACGGCCTGGTGGAGGGGCACGGGCAGCAATCAGCAGCGGCACAGTTGGCTCATGAACAAGCAGGAGGAATAAAGGGAAAGAGGGATGCTAAAGAGAGAGAGAGAGAGACAGACAACACATCTGTATATGTATGTGGGCAACGCTGCATGTAGATGTGAATGCATAAGTATACCTACATGTATAAGCATACGTATGCAGATTTGTCTATACATAGGTATGCGTATATCCATGTGTATGTGAACATGTACATGCCTACTGATGTACAGGTGTAAGGGCCACTGCATGTTGTGCTTGATTGGCGGTACGCAAGCATATACATATGTGTATGGCGATGTCTATGTATGCAGCATTATGCACGATGTACATGTGATGCGCCTCATAGGTATATGCGTGCGTACATGTAGGTGTACGTGACTATGAAACTATACATGCCTGCGTGCATGCTTACGTTGATGCTTCTGTATACGTATACGTGCAGGTGTATGCACATGTGTGCGTGGCATCATGTGTACATGCGCACACATACTTGTAGGTCGGTGTAGATGTTTGCATGGATGCATGTGCAGGTGCCGAGGTATGTGTATATGTACAAGTGCACGTGCATGTATATGTGATTGCCCATGTATTTGTATATGTCTATGTAACTGCATCTGTGTATGTAACGCTATATGTAGATGTAAGTGTACGTGTATGCGTATCAATATGTTGAATATGCATGTGTATACATCTATGCATACGTACATGAAAAAACTATACGTGTTCGTGTAAATGCCTATGTAATTGTACGTGTATGAGTACATGTGCATGTGTATGTGTATGTGTATGCGTATGTGTATACACATGCCTGTGTACACTCCCTGCTCTATCTTTCTACCACCTGGGCCCCTGCGAACCCTCCCGCCCCCCTGAACGGGATCCCCCCCCCGGGATCCGTGGCCCCAGGGGTCCCCTGGACGCCCCTGCAGAAGGTTTTCCATGCTTTCCGAGGCTCCTGGAAGCCCCTGCTCGATCAGGAGGGTGGCCAAACGGCCCCGCGAGAGCCCCAAGAGGCCACAGACACCCACCAGACGCTAGAAGACGACCCAACGAAGACCCCCAGGATGCCTTCGAAAAGCAGAAAAACATAGTTCTCCCATCTTCTGTCTTCTGGGCGTCCGAGACCGCTCAGGAGGCCCGAAAATCGCCCCGTCTACCCAAAAGGGCTTCCAGGCAGTCCAAGAGCTCCAAGACAGCCCCTCAAGGCCACAAGATTGTCCGGAAAGAGCCGCATGTCGGCCCAAGATGGCTCCAAGACGCCCCCCGAAGCATTCCAAATCGTGTCGTGACCTGGTCGTTCAGGGAGACCGCGGCTAGAAGCAGGGTGGGCCGAGAAATCCCATGCGGTGTCAAAAATTCCACCTCTGACGCGCGGGAGGGACACGCAGCATAATCCAGTCGGGAACTTTAGCTTAGCGTGTCGCTCCGCCAGTTCTGGCCCACCACCATGCGTTGACGCGACACGCCATCCATCTCTCCATTTCCATTCCCAAGCGTCAACGTCCCGAGCTATTCCCAGCCTCCAGCCCCGTGGAGCGGAGCGACACGCTATCCGCTCGCACGGCATAGCGTGTCCCCAGGGCCGCCGCCGTCACACACCAAGCACAATTTGCCGACCGCATTGTCTCTCCAGTCCTGCTTCCTTTCTCGTATCTGCGGGGGGGGCCTGCGGTGATGGGCCAATTTTCCACTACCGCTACCATAGATAGGACGGGGGAGAAGGGAGGATGGAGAGGTCCTCCTCCTCCTCCTCCTCCTCCTCCTCCTCCATCACCTTCTCCTCCTCCTCTTCCTCCTCCTCCTCTTCCTCATCCTCCCTCTCCTACCTATGGTAGCGGTGATGGAAAAGCCCATCATGCGGGGTAAAGACAGATCGGGGGAGGGGATGTCCCCTGGGCCCCCTGGTAGCTGGAACCTGCCCAAGGACCCAGGACCCCCATAGGGGCGCAACCAGGCGGCCAGGAGGGCCGAAGAGGCTTGCACGGAAGCCCAGGGAGGACCCAGAGCAGGACCAAGGGCAATCTCTCTCCATCTACAGCAAGGATCAAGGGTGCGCTGCACGTAGTGGTTCAGGCAGCCAGCCGGTGACACGACAGCAGTACAGCGGTCACAGATGTGTGGCTTCTGCTGCAATCGCGTTGCAGGCAGACCGCGCAATTCGTCCTCCTCGCCTTCCTCCTCCCCCCCCCCGGAGATGCACACACGATTATCCTGCCCTGACCTTCCCCCTTCCCCCCCCCCGAGATGCACACGCGATTATCCAGGCCTGCTCTGGTAGGAGCTTCTGGCCGAGGAGGACGAGCGACACGCGGTCAAAGAGGAGAGGAGAGAGAGATCCCGCCTAGTCGTTTGCCTGCTACGCCAGCGCCTCCCCGAGCTGGGGCAGGTGCCGCAGCTGCTGTCGGAAGCAGGTTTTGAACGCGTTCTTGGCGCACGACTGCGAGCGTCTGTCGGAGACGCGAAAAAGGTTTAGCCGCGGAGCCTTCGTGAGACTCGATGAATGGGGCTGCACATGCCGCCGAAAATTATGAGCACACTGGTGAAGCGTCACCCGTCGCTGCTGGATCGGTGCACTCTGATCCCGTCCTGTCGGCTTGTTTGCAGGCTGATGCGCACGGGCGATGCGGCTTCCAGAGCAGCAAAAACATATACAAACACTTTCTCGGGGGTCCGCGCGGATTTCTTGGCCCTGCGATGGAGCCACCCTCCCTGGCGCGCGGAGCGCGCCAGGGAGGGTGCCGGAGGCTCCGCCATGGGGGGGGCCAACGCCGATCCCAGAAATCGCGGAGCTCGGAGAAATTACGCTGACGGCTTCCGGTAACTTCTCGAACGGAGACGGCAGCGGGCGGCGGCCACGGCCACAGCGGCCGGTTCTGCGCGAGGAGCGGCCGAGGCAGGCACGCATCTCCTCGAGCACGGCGACGGACCGCTGCCACTGCCGGCGGCGGCCGTGGGCGGCGATCAGGGCGGTGTGCACCTCTCTTTTGGCCCGCCTCCTCCCTCGAATATTCGCC